TACTCATTTTATCAATACACCACTGGACGCTGCGTACTTACTTATAATATAATTATTAACAATTAATTATAATCCACTGCGATTATAGCAGTGGCTATATATAGTTTATGCTCAGCCTATATTGGTTATCGACACCGTTGAACGGCGACACTAATGGCGATGTTTTGAAAATAATTACACATAATATTATTATAACCTATGACGTATTTTATTGTGCGGTCCGCATCAAGTCTCCAGTCGTAACGCACGCCCATCAATTTCATTGTCTCCGAGTGCGTAGTTTATAATAATATTCTAATAAATTGCGAGTTTTCCTACTTAGTAAAACAACGCCCTGCGTGTGACGTCTATAATAGTAGTTATGTCCTTTGTATCATTAATATTATTAATTATATGTGACAAAAGAAGAGGGACGAGAGAATCGCAGAAAATCATAAAAATTAACACTAATCATTAAAGCTACCTACCTACCTACTAGCATCGCTGCAGCGGCTGCACCGGAGGAAAACGGACGACGATTCTTTAATCTTGTATTATGGACATGTGCATAATACATCCGCCATCATCTATGACATAATAATATTATGACATGATGCAACGATATCTGATATGACTACGATATATTTACTGCATGCGTGCGCATAATCCCTCCGACGGCCAGCTGAGCGGGGTTATATGGTTTGTTACGGTTCTGCTGTATATTATGTACACGCGTGTTTACGTGACGTAACCTGRCGGCGACGACCAATAGTTGATCATATATAATCGGACAGGACCCGTCGTCGGCGGCACGGTGAGCTCGTGGCCCGATCACTGCGACGGACGTGGGTCGTAGGGCTCGGCGTCGAGGCCCACGTAACGGTTGTTCTTGCGGTGCACGAACCCGGTGCCTGGTGCCGTGTTGTAGTACACCACCCTCCTGATGCCGAACGGGTCCACGTAACCGAAGCTGCCGGCGCGCGTGTCGCCCGCGTCGTCCGACTGTTCCTCGTGGTAGTGCCTGGGCAGGTAGTACTTGAAACCGTTACGAACGAACGACACGCCGTCGTACTGCTCCTGTTCCGCCAGCGGTCCCGGCGTCGTCCTGGCCGACATGTCCACCACCTTGCGGTACGCGGGCCTGAACGTGTGCGGCTTCAACGGYTGCTCGTACAGCGGCTGATGTTCCCCGGCCGTGGACGCCGTGACAGTGGCCACGGTGGACGACGACGAGCGYCGTCTGTACGGTCGTCGCGCGTCATCGTCGCCGTCTCCTCCGTCCGCGTTGGCCGCGATCGAGTTGACGTCCACTGGCCGCACGGAATAGTAGTCACCGATGGGCGACGCTGTGCTGGTCGGCTGCGGCCGCCGGAACTGAGATGCTACTGAACGCGACGACGACCCGGCCACGGGGAATCGCAATGGCGACGATTGGGTGTCGGACGGGTACACGAACGGCGAACCACGCCACGACGATTCCCTGGGTGGTGGTTGAGTGACCGCTACGACAGCCGCCGGCCTGGTGACAATAGTGGCCGTGGCCGACCGGTACGGTGACACCGAGACGGCCGTACCAGCTATCGGTGGCACGTATTTGGCAGCCGACACGGCTTGACCGACGGGCGTCTGTGTGCCGACGAACAGCTTCTTGTTCTTCACTATTCTGTAACCTGCAGCACATATTATTATGAGACAATGGTTATTAATTGACGCTTACCAATCGAATTCAAATTAAATTACATTATTTTCAATACACTTTTTATTTKAGTTACTTAACAATATTAACTATTAAGAATGATATAATTCGTGTAAAAGTGTAATAATTATATCGATATTGATGATACTACGATAACAGTTAAAGTGTGAAAAACATACACAGAACGGAATATTTTCAGAAAATTAAGTTATAATAATGTAGCGCAATACACAACATGTTAATCAGACTTCCTAAATCATTTTGTACGGATTTGCAAGTGCTTTATAATGCTTAGCCTCACTCTGGCTAGTATATAATATGTTGTATTGATGTCGTACAACGTACAATTTATATTATAATCGGTTGGAATGCTATAAAATAGATTTGATCAAATATACACCTACCTACCTCCTTCATCCCTAATATTATCTTGTTGTAAATGTTTACTCAATTGGAAAAATTATTATTCAAATCAATTCTATTAATAATACTAAATCAATTATTATTTGGGTGAGTATATAAGAACATAATATTATACTGACTTTGTCTAGGTTTTGTAATG